CTAGTACCCCCCCTACCCCCACCCCCCCCCCCAAGTGCAGAATCATCTTCTTCATTTTCTTCCCCAACAGAAAGTTGACATTCCAAACTCCATATTCTGTGTTATCTCAGATTCAGAGGTTACTTCAAATTCCGGAAATGACACAAGTAGGCAGAACAATTTCTTGCCACAGTAGTTTACTGTTCACGTAACCTCAACTGTACATTTTTTATTACTTTATTTGTCCGGTCCAGCTTGCGCACCTTGACTATTCCACTGAGTACCTGCTACCTCCCACCAGCACATGTACGAGTAACTCTGCCCACTAAGTCTTAGGTAGATGGAAAAAAATCACCTAGTGCTTTTTGTTTCTGCTGGGATTTGAACCCTAGTCTCTAAGGTTTACACCTAATTTATTGACTAGTAGCTCACACCCTTGCATGCATTTTTTACCCTTTGATTACTACTTAAGACATCATGTGGTAACCGTTCCCAGATGTGCTGGGAAATCATTCTTCTGTTCAATACTTACTACATCCAATTTATGTGACACTTCCCATTTTGGATGTCCCAACACACTCCTACAGTTAGAAATATCCTAGACGACTTTCACATCATCCAAGTTAAAATTTGATTTAGCAATTCAGATTTAAAACACAATACATGGTATCCATCTACACTAAGTTTTCAACTACTACTTTCAAGTTTTTTTCAACTATAATAGTTTTTTACAAGTAATTTCTTTCAACTATTGATAATAGAATATACAAGCCAAACTAACTTTTTAATCTCTGAACGGAGTCAAACATGCTGCATAAGCTGTGACAGACCATGTAATTGACAAGTATTAGAAATATATATATATATATATAAATGCAACTTGTTTTTATTAGGAGAAATAAGTATGCAATTAACATTTGTATATCAGCTTGAGAGAGCACTATACGTAGGTACTTTGCTAGATACTCTTAACTTTTATGCAGCTATTGAAAGATTTTCCTCACTGCTCACTTTCTTTCTAGATTCTATAAAACTTTCTTGTTATCCAATTCCTTCGTTTTAGTTTTTACGCGATCATAACATTTTCTTCATTCTTTCAAGATTAGAAGTACACAATTATATCAACATCCTCATCAAAAAAAAAGTTGTATTAAAATCTAACGCCCATTCAATTAGATAGTCTAAGCATCTTACTTTGTTAGATGGTAGGTCGTAACTCTGTGTGTGTGTGCGCGCGCGCGCATGTGTATGTGTGTATTTTATTCACTGAAGATATGACTACGAATTGATCTTCTAAATCTATTGGTATTCAGATTCAGGAGCTAAACTAGCTTCAAAAAATTATATCCCACTGAAATTTAGGACAAGCATGAGGGTCTTCCTCTTGTTAAAACCAAACAAGATATGACGATAACAGATACAAAAAGAGAACCATTGGGCCTTTAAATTCAAGGACCTCATGGTTCAAAAATGACAAAAAGGGTTAAAAAATAAAAATATATGAAAATAGGTGTCAGTTGATAGTACTACTTCAGAACACAAAAGAAAAATGCACAATTTCAAATAGAATGGAAAAAGAGAAATGCAGCTCTAGGAAGAAGAGATGTTCTCTCAAACATTGCTAGATCTCTTGAGCATCAAGTGAAAGAGTAAATGCACTTATTCCTATGAATTGGAGGCATTGCAAACCATTTACATATTAAGAACTATGCCAATTGCAAAAGAATTTCAGAACCAGCTAACCAATTAAACATATTATGCTATCCCTGGAACTCAAAACTATAAACAACAACTCAACCCCAAAATCAGACACAAATGACACCCATTTTTATCAAATTACAGAAATTTTATAAATAAAAAAATAAGCCTAAACAATAAATACTCAGAAAAAGTTAATCTCTCTTTTTTTTTCCTATCTTTTGAGAAGTGTAATAAAAGTTGATGTTTGAAACAGGATACGAGAGCTAAAAACACCAAAAAAGAGGCCTCTAATAAAATATAAAGAGAATGTTTATCATGAGTATGAATCATGGAAGAATAATGAGTCTGAATCACGAAAGAATCCAAATTTGAACTTCCTGTTATCCTTTTCCCAGAAAATTATACAAACTACATCAGCATGACGAGTTTCAAATGTTAGCAGACCCTAGAAGAACTACCAAACTGGCCAAAGGGAGCAGACAAGCGATAGAACAATAAAATTAACTTTAAGCTCCGCATCAAGTAAACTTAGGAAGCAATTAAATAAAAACATTCAAACAAATCAAGGCCAATATGACACTCGCATAAAAAGCTAAGATATAAAGTTAAAAGTTTAAGAATAAGGTAAGTGAACTTCCACAAAGACTGGAGACGGAAAGACAGGAAAAATCACAGAAAGATAAGACACAAGTCTCATACAAAGAATATCTATCAATTTAACACTAATAAAACAGAAATTTCAGCAGACTAAATAAATAAAAGGTTTGTACTAACCTTGAAAATGTCTCCTGCATAAGCAGCTGCTCGATTAGGTGCTTCGTTGTACTTCTCTCTCCACTTAATTGAGGATCCTTCGTTCCAAAAAAGAAAGTTAAAAAGAGTATAAATATTTCTTTTTTGATAATCCAAAAGTAATTAATCATATTCCACCAACATGGTGTCGAAAACTTTGCAAAAATCTTTCATTTTCAGCTCAAAAGTATCTACCCAACTCTACAAATAGTATTTTCCTTTTCTACAAAAAAATGACGAGAAAGGGGCCTTTTTATTCTCCACGGCGTGTTCAAAAGTGCGTCTATTTCTCTCTCTCCAACAACAACGCAGACCTTACCCCTAAACTGATGGAGTAGAGAGGTTGTTTCCAAAAGACCCTCAGCTCAAGAAAACGAAAAAGACGAAAAAGACAATATATCAGTACCGTCAACAGAAACCACAGAAATGATAACATCATTATAAGAACTAGAAAATAGTTGAAACGTAATAATAATAACCAGTAAATAAGGCCCGGTGCTATGAAAAACGGGAGAATCGTGTGAGCACAACAAAGTCTATTTCTCTCTCTCCATTGAACAAAAAAGGACATGTTGCAATTACATCTCATGCTACCTTCCTAGCCTTGTTCATCCTCTTCAATGAACTACTTGCTAAGGTACTCAATAGTGTATTCGATAACACTCAATTTATGCCAAAAAATACAAAAGTCCATAGATCATGAACATACTAGTAATGTGTGTGTATATATATATGATCAACATCCCCTCCTTTTTTTCCCTTTTCCCTTTTTTTTTTTTTCTTTGGTTCTTGGGGAAGAGAAACCTCTTCTTCTTGTTTTTTTCTTTTGCACATAAAGATGCGGTCTACAACAATTTGTTTTCTCTTCTCTATGTTATTGTTGCGATGGCGTTTCAAATGCACAAACTCATAGTCATGACAATATGTTGATGGAAAGTGATGGGACAAGGTAGACCTAGCCACCTAGGGGAGTGAGAGAATGAATTTTATGAGACAGATTCTCAACAATGGACAAGGTAGACCTAAAAATACATGAAGAAGCGTTGTCTTAAAAGACCTACAATCTCTGAAATATTATGGAATTGGCCAAGAATAGAACACTATGGAGGAAAAGGGTCCATCTAGACGATACCAACTAGTTGGTATTAAGGTTGAACTATTCTATTACACTTACTTAAGGTCTAGTATTTACCAGGAATATTCCAGTTAAAGACTTGTGTCCGACTGTCCGTGTGCGGATAAATGAGGTATATAGATAACTTCTTGCTTTAAAGAACCTCTAACTTGCCCCAGAAAACAAATAATTTAGTACTAAATGAAATGGACATGAATAGAGTGCAATGCTTACAGAGTATTCACATGACCTAGCTCAACTAGTTTGGGACTTGTTAAGTAGTTAGTCATGTATTATTATTATGTAATCACTGTATATAAATAGGGTTGTACAACACTTTAATTAAGCAATAATATTTTCTCCCGTGCTTTCTCACATGGTATCAGAGCATTGGTGAGATAATTATCGTTATGCGTCATTCCAACGACATCCGGGAAGAAATCAGTCGTCACCGTGCAATTTTCCGGTGACCTGAGAAGCTGTATGCGTCAAAACCACTTTTTACCGGTGTTGTGCATAAACCAACACGACCACAGTGTTCTCCATCCCCGGGCGACCAAACCCCACAAAACCCCACCGGAAAACACCTCCCCAAGCGCCCTCACGCACCAGTCAAAGAAAAAAATTCCGACGAGATCTGCTCGGGAAGTAGATACCTTTTTTTTTTTTTGAAAAATCGGGAAGTAGATACCTATTAGTATCTACTAATATAAATAGGGGTTGTATAACACTTCAATTAAGCAATAATATTTTCTCCCGTGTTTTCTCACAGGACTGAATGATAGTTGATTGATTATAAGGGAGACATTCCATGTTGAACACCATGCAATAGACCTTTCTCAAGACACGAGTTGTGTATAAATTACCATGTAGGAATTTCATATCCTTCCATTGGTCATTACAGACAGAAAGATTTTACAAGGAAACTATATTGTTAGATCAACCGACTCTTTCCTTCGTTTTTTTATAAGGAGATCAACCGACTCTTTCCTGCGATTAACTTACGAATCAATTTAGATATAACCATAAAATCTGTATGAAAAAGTCCTCCAACTTGTCCAGTTCCTGGCCACGGTAAGGTCTCCTGAATTGTTAGGTTCCACGATATGTTAACATTATTCTTGGTTAGGAAATTTGCCATCATTATAAACTTGTTTTCTGTGATAATTCACTTCCAATTTCCTAACTCAATTAATTAGTCTCCGAGTCAACTTGAGCACAACTCGGCTATTCCACTAGGTACCTGCTACCTCCCATCGGCATAGATATCGAGTAACACTATCCACCAAGGCTTAGGCAGAATGTAGAAATCACCTAATGTTTTTCCTCTCTACTGAAATTTGAACCCTAGTCTCCAAGTTTGCATCCACTTCATTGATCATAAACTACAAGACCACTCCCCTCACAATTTTTTTCAACATATTTTCCCTATATGAGTACTTCTATTTATATAAGCCTAAATGAGTATGTCATCTCTTCTAAAAGTTATTCACTCATACCACTCCCGTATTTTATAACAATTATGCTCTCCCATGACGAATCATCTTTAATAGCAAATCCCATAGACACTTTCCTAACCGTGCTTTACTTTTTGGATAAGTTCTAACTGTGCTTTATTGAAAGTAGTTTTTTTGCGGTTACCTAGGCTTACTTCGAATAAAGGGGTAGTCACCTAGTTCCATTCCATAGTTCCATAGGAGGATACTACTTCTCTCCACTTGTGTAGAAAATTCATGACCAGTTCTTCAGTTCTTGCCACTACTATTGGAATACAAAATATAGAAAGATAGTATGTAGGAATATTGGATTATGAGGACTATCTTTCCTCAGAGGTAATAATCTCCTAACAGCACAGCTCAAAAATGAAAACAGGTAAAAATGGTCCTCTATTTTTCTCCTTTACATTGACAGAGGGCAGACAACAAGGGTGAACCACATTAATACATCCTAACCAACTCACCTATCAAAAGAAGAAAAAAAAAGAACATCCAAACCAACGGTATCCCCATTGAAAAGGAAACCCTATATGCTACAGATAACTCTCATCCAAACCAACCGAACAAACCAGTATCACAAGGAGAAATATGGTACAAAATCACAAACGCTTAAATATGCAACAGATAACTTTCACCCAAACCAACCTAACAAACTAGTATCACTAGGAGAATCATGGTACAAAATCACACAATTCTTAATGCTTGAAAATCAATAACATAAGCAGATTTCTGAAATTACCTTGTTTAACTCATCCACTTCCAAGCCAATATCGTCCTGCTCTCTAGCATCATCCGCTACAATAAAAGCCAGACGTCAGCTAGTCGAGGAACAAATAGAAAATGAGAGGACAATCCCATGAGAACTAGTTTTATCAGCCACTATGGTATTTGAATTATACAGAGATGAAACAATGCTAAATTGTCAAAGAGATAGTTAATAGTACCGGCACAAGAGAGCTTTACATATTTAAAGCTTGAATGGGGCATTCTTCCTACACATGTCAAGACTATATAATGAATGCAAGGAAGTTTCAAAATTCCAAGTGGCACATAGAACAAGCAATGCATCTCGACATGCATAACTAATACGCGGGATATTGCGAGCAATTTGATTTGAGGCAAAACCATAGTGCAATCGGCGTTAATAGCTGCACCAAGTACGGTAGGCGAGATTTTCCTACTACCTTTTCCTTTTTCTTTTACCTTTTTATGTTTGGGGGGTTATAACAAGTCTCAAGGCGTCTTTTTCAGACTGCCCACTTTCTTTGAGCGCTAAGAAAACCGTATGCAACTAGTACCTTTTTCCAAGTGAAGTCAATTCAGTCGAACCGCTTTGCTGAATGTGCATCTGTCAAGCGCAAAAGAATTGCTACACGCTTTTACTTTTCATTCCCTTTTTAAGTAACAAATGGGTCTCCTTTCTTCAAAAAGACAAGATAAGTAAAATCAAATACTCAAAGGCAAGGCAGAGTAATACACATGCAGGCACAGGTGTAATACCACCTAACCAATACATTAAGTCACGTCAATGTATCAAGTTGGTTTAACCTTTACTACATATACTATATTTATGATTTTTTAAGGCACATATTTGCCTCAGGGCTTTGGTCTAATGGTAAGAGCGAAACACATAATGTGTGGGTTAGGCGTAAGTCACGGGTTCGAACCCTACCAAAGACAAAAGCATAGTAGTTAAGCAGAGAAGGGCGGAAGAGGATAATCCACTGAGTTCTGAACCGTGTCTCACAGCCCTCGGAATTTCTCAGTTATTAAAGAAAATGTATCAAGTGGGTTTAACCTTTATTACAACTACAACAACATACCCATAAAATCCCACTAGTGGGGTCTGGGGAGGGTAGGATGTACACAGACCTTAGCCCTACCCCGGAAGGGTAGAGAGGCTGTTTCCGGGAGACCTCGGCTCAACAGAAGAGATAATAATATCAGAAAAGAAACGAAAGAAGAGATTTGTAACAACAAAAGAAGCAAGAGAAGTAATAATAATAATCTTAAGATACACCAAATAAGTGAAAGGGCCCTAGCCTACAACCCTAATGCTCGACCTCCACACGTTCCTATCAAGAGCCATGTCCTCGGAAATCCGAAGTCGCGCCATGTCTTGCCTGATCACCTCGCCCCAATTTATCTTAGGCCGCCCTCTACCTCTTCTTGTACCTGTCAAAGCCAACCGCTCGCACCTCCTAACCGGGAAATCTATAGTTCTCCTCCGCACGTGCCCAAACCACCTAAGCCTCGCTTCCCGCATCTTGTCGTCCACGGGAGCAACGCCCACCTTCTCCCGAATATCTTCATTCCTTATCTTATCCAGTTTAGTATGCCCGCACATCCATCTCAACATTCTCATCTCGGCTACTTTCATCTTCTGGATATGTGAATTCTTAACTGGCCAACACTCAGCCCCATATAACATAGCCGGCCTAACCACCGCTCTGTAGAACTTACCTTTGAGTTTCGGTGGCACCCTCTTGTCACACAGGACTCCAGATGCTAACCGTCATTTCATCCACCCCACCCCAATGCGGTGCGTGACATCCCCGTCAATCTCCCCATCTCCCTGGATAATAGACCCTAGGTACTTGAAACTTTCTCTCTTGGGGATGACTTGTGAGTCGAGCCTCACCACCCCGTCCGCTTCCCCCGTCACGCCACTAAACTTACACTCCAGATATTCCGTCTTGGTCCTACTCAACTTGAAAGCTTTGGACTCCAGAGCCTGCCTCCACACCTCCAGTCTCTCATTAACACCACTACGCAACTCATCGATCAAAACTATATCATCAGCGAACAACATACACCATGGCACCTCCCCTTGAATATGGTGTGTCAAGGCATCCATCGCCAGAGCAAATAAGAATGGGCTCAGCGCAGATCCTTGGTGTAACCCCATAATCACCGAAAAAAGCTCGGAGTCACCTCCCGCAGTCCTGACGAGTCTTAGCTCCATCATACATATCCTTTATCGATTTAATGTATGCTACCAGCACCCCTTTCACTTCCAGGCATCTCCAAAGAATGTCCCTAGGGACCTTGTCATACGCCTTTTCTAGGTCAATAAACACCATGTGCTAAACCTCTTCCTATCCCTGTGTTGTTCCACCAACCTCCTTATAAGGTGGATAGCTTCCTTACAAATTACATATGTAAATATTATTGTTTTCCCTGACTAAGCAGATTCAATTGAATTCCCCTTTCACTAAACATGCATCCACATCTATGTTACAAGATGTTTGTGTCCATAAGCGGATTCAGAATTTTAAGTTTATGGATTTTGAATTCTAGGACAAAACAACAACTTGGTTCGAGATATACTATTTAGACATATAACTGTTGGACTTTAAGCCATTGGGCTTTAAAGTAGAAGAAGTGTGAATTGGAAATGGAGGGAAATAAAATGGAGGAAAAAATGAAAATTTGAAGAAGTGAACTTTTGTCTTGCACTTTGTCCTCATTGGTGAGGGACAATCACATTTGTGTGCTTATATATAGAATCACTTCTTAAAGCTCTTAAAAGGAGTTGAAGAGAATGAACCCTCGCGCCGTTGTCGTCGCTCGCTCGGCTCGGCTTCGGCTTTGGATTTGGATTTGGATTTGTCAAATGATCGATCGATAAGATTATTTTTGGACAAAATTTATTTAATTATTTAATAATTAATTAAATGCCAAATCACTGCTGAAAATACGCCAGAACCCTGCTGAGATTCAGAGGGACTCTCTGGCCGCGGTTCTACCGTAACCGCGCGGCAAGCAGATTCAGAGAGCCTCTCTGACCGCGGTTCTGCCGTAACCGCGGTAGAACCGCGGCAGGCAGCGTATTCTTCTAAAAAGGCACCTTTTCCAGACACCTCTTCTGATAATTGCCTATAAATTCTGAGGCAAGGCTCCATTTTCTACACACGAAAAATACTCCAGAACTTCTTTCTTTTTGAATATACTGCATCCTAATTCGCAGTCTCTCTCTCTCCAATTAGTAAGTGTGATTTTGCTCCGTTCTTTGAGTTCGTTGGGATCCTGCAGTTTGTATTGCCACTGTTGCATGAAGGTTTATTCCGTTTTATCCTAGGAGGATTTAATCCATTACCTTGGCAACTTGTGAGGGGGTTAAAATTCCTTAAGGACACACAAGAAACTTGTGGACTCGGGATATTTCTAATTTTCTACTATTTTTCAGTTTCTTTTATGCTTCTAACAGTTTTTCTGATTTTGTGTTTTAACACAGTAGCGCTCACAGTATATTATACTGGAACTCTAGTATATTATACTGGAGTATTTTTCCGGATTTTGAACAGTGTTTTTGTTCAAATTTATCTTTACATGAAAAGTGGCTAAATTTCGATTATTTTTGAAATTGTGGCTATTTTTGAAAGACCGCTTGTAAATCTTGGCTATTTTGAATTTCTCCTTGATTACAATAAGTTGAGCTTTTTATGCCATTTATTAGGTTAGATTGTCATACAATACCACCAAAATAGCTCAAATGAAATATGCCAATTCACAGGGCCACTCATTTACTACTAAACTCACATGTTGGAAGTGTGCGTAGCGCGAGCAACCACAGCTAGTTACGTATCAATAAAATTGGATGTATCATCAGAATTTGTAACGAAAATGAGATGCAAAGTGCACAAACGGAAATTGCGAATCTACGACGACATTTGAAGAACTTTAATGATTAGTTACATGTGAGAATTTTCAAACTCATATTTTCACATATTACTTAAACATTTTCGTCAACTAATCAATAGGAATAATATACAGATTAAACAATATACTTCATCATTTCCAATTATCTGACACAATTACAATTTGGAGTCCCAAACAATTTTCTCTTTAAGCATTTAATTATATGACAGGTTGTGGTTTAAGTACTTTTATTTAGTTTCTAATCTTGCAAGTGAAATATTAAAATTTTGATGTCCAAATTGACATAAAAATTTAGAATATTTGACCTCAATACTTCGATCTGTTACATTTTTTTTGAAACGTTATGAAATTTCAAGCTCATTTTTATTAATATTATTATATAATGAGCTCAAAATTTCATAGAGTTTCTTTATCTCGAGCCGAGGGTCTTTCGAAAACAACCTCTCTACCTCCCCAAAGTAGGGGTAAGATCTGCGTACTGACTACCTTTCCTAGACCCACTTATGGGACCCCACTAAATGGTTGTTGTTGTTGTTGTTGTTACATAGAGTGCAAAAAATGGAACAAGTAGACTCATCACAAAAAGCTCACTAGAAATAGAAGTTATGCCAGTTGGATGTTACACAAATAGCCGGTCAGATGCAATGTTTACTTTTTTTAGCCGGTATACATAGATTATACATTGATTATACCCAGTTATACACATATTATACATGAATATATTCGCCTGCTATTTTTAGTTTAAAAAATTAGGTAGGCGTCTATTGGGTATATTCTTCTTGGGATTATTTGCCATGATGTTTAGGCCCAATAGAACTTCAAATAAGTGGCTGATTCTCTAACGGGATTTTTTTATTCTTATATACTATTTGAAACTTTATTATCCTTAATGTCCATGTTTAGTTAATTACCCGGCATAAACAAGTTTTGTTTATAAAATATATACAATCCACCTTAAAACAATGATCCCTTCCATGTTTTCCTCAGCTTCGCGTTGTATAACATTCTTAGTCTTGTTAACTTTCCCAATTCAATTACCGTGCTTGTAGTGGCATTTATACGATTCACCATTTCTAAAGACACAAGAGTCCCTATCTTCTTAGGAGCTTCAAAACCATGTATATAACCAGCAG